ATAATTTGTTTGATTCGTCACCACGTAAACCTAGAGGTATTGTATAATTTGTTTGATTCGTCACCACATAAACCTAGAGGTATTGTAGTGTTTGTTTGATTCGTCACCACGTAAACCTAGATATATTGTATAATTTGTTTGATTCGTCACCACGTAAACCTAGAGGTATTGTATAATTTGTTTGATTCGTCACCACGTAAACCTAGAGGTATTGTATCATTTGTTTGATTCGGCACCACATAAGCCAAGAGGTATTATATTATTTTGTTTGTATTATTGTATTAGTACATAATAAATATGTTGGATTTTTTATTTTTTTGGTGTTGGATCTGGTGTGTATTTATGTAATAGTTGTGTTTTTATACTTTAATGTGTATTAGAAGTGTTATGTATTTATGTTCTAGTATATGATAGATCTGATGTATGTGTATGCCCTAGTATATTTTCCATGTTTGTTTCGGCAAGGGATTATGAGTTGTATTTAGGCCCAAAAATATTCCTATTTACACGATTTAGAATATGTTTATTGTTAGTGAAGTCTAAAAACGTAGTGTGTGTGTGGTAAAATGTAATATAGATCAGTGACAGATGAAGGAAAATTCCATCTTGTATTTGAAAACAACTACGTGTACGTGTGTGATGTTAAGTTAATACAGATAATTAACATATGACTCCTGGGGTCAGCAGTAACTTTTCAGATAGTTTACTCGTTGATTTACACATATTTATTTAGCATTGTTGGTTTGTTTCAGCAGTTTAAACTCAAGAATGTTTGATAATATTTTAATATGAACTGAACCTTCTAAACACGTGTATCGATTAATTAATGACAGTGTTCCAATTCAGATTTAATTGGATTACTGAACATGTGCAATATGGATAGCTCCTGACGAAGATGTAATAGCGAAATATTAAGATAATAAAGATACTATCTGGAGACACAGGTCGTGATTTAGATTTAAAAACTGTTTTCAGATATTACTAATGCTGAAATAAATATATGAAAAAATGACTAATACATGCAAACAAAAATGCTTTTCGTCCTAACAAACGGCTTTGCCTTCTTTGCTGTATTTATGTTTTATTTGGATGCTTTGTAAATAATGTTTGCTTTCAAAAATAAAGTACAAAAAATAACGTTTTGAGCCACCTCTTTATTTCTTCTTGCACGTCTGGGGTTTTGTTTTCATAAAAAAAACTAATTCGTTAAGGAATTACCCTAATAACACTATAAAAAAATAAAAATAGCTTACCGGTAAGGCAGAGGGCTTATAACACTAAAAATTATATTTCGATACCCGCAGTGGGCACAGCACGGATAGTCCATTGTGTAGGTTTGCTCTAATCAACATACTTATTGTTTTAAAATGCCGCAGTGATACAAATTGCGATAGTGAATTCTATGATGGCGTAAAAATACACTTAACACAGTGCGTGTTCTCTCTAAAAGAGGCTTAAGGTTATTGTGAGAAATTTTAAGATGCATTTCATTGTGGTAATTGTACTTTTTAAAATTATTTGTGACTTCTCTACGAAATGGAAATTTCTCGACAAGTGTGTTTTTCGTGGAAAATACCAGTATTCTTCCTTGATACAGGCGTGTACTATTAGCAAACATGAGCCAATGGTAAGCTAGTTTTTCGTCGACAAGATGGCGGAAAACGCGAGTATAAAAGGGCTGTTAGCGCTACGCTCAAGTCTTCACAGTGTTAAGGGGACCCGCATGAGGGTGGAGTCGGAACTTAGTTTCTCGTGCTTGGTATCACAGTCGGTGGGAGAAGCCTTCCCTACTCCAGTATTAGGGTTTGATCTTAGACTATTTTAATACGAAGCTGAGGACGATTGTGTTCATTCTGTCACAGTTATTATAAGCTAGAATTTTTCTCTGAGCCCATTTGATTCATCGGGTGTTTAATTTAATCAGCTAAATGGCAGTTCTGCGGTCCTGGATGTTTGCAATACTGGTAGCTTGTAATGTTCATTTGGCGACACACTGGTCTTGCAGTTCAGAGTAAGTCACCCGTTCAGTAATCATTATTTATTTTTATGTATTGTTTCTTAATGATTTTGTGTAATATAAATCCCACTGTTGGTTTTTTACGTCATATCGAAGGTTCCTGCCATTTTAATATTTCATTATTACTATTAGTTTCACTTTTTCAGTATATATATTGTCGAGGTTGGTCGTCTGCTGCAGTAAACGTAACGTTACACATATCTTGGTTTTAGTTCGTAAATATAGAATAATTTTTAATTTATTCAGTTCATTAAGAATATGAGGAGATTTTTCTTTCTCTGGCTTATTATCAATATTACATAAAAATGAGCCTTATTATCTCACGTTAAGTTGAAATTAATTTAGACCTATTAATTTAATTATATTTCCCCACCATGTTTGAACTGATTTTGTAACTTTTAGAAACCTTGTCATTATTTCTGATACCAATCGATAGATTTCCCGCGTTAACTTGACAGTGGCATGGAGACACAGGAAATGATCGATGCTTGACGTCATAGGTTTTCACGTATCTATATGTAGATTTATATATATATATATATATACACGTCATATCACATTGTTATTTATTTTGTTGATGACTTTTGATTTGTCATAATGTCGTGATTTAATGTTATCTTAACATTAGTATTACCAATGCGATAAGGTCAGGTTGAACAAGAAGTGCAATTCGAAATAACTGTGTCGAAATATGTTTACATATCTAACCCTCAAAATCGCGTGACTAACTGCATTACATGAAATCTTAACTTCTACATAGTTTTTTTATGTAAATTTTTATAAGTGTGATGGTTAACAGAGGTTGTTTTAAATTGTATAAGTACGATTTGTTAGTGATTTAAGTATTGTATACCAGTGTGTTCTATACTTAGAAATCAGACTTGATGTGCTCTAATCTACATCTAGAAATCAGTAACTGGGCTGCTCTGTTCTGTATCTAGAAATAAAATACTCCGTATGTTTATTGTGTGCTTAAAAGTCACTTTTCTCATAAAATGTTGTATAACAAAACAGCAACTATTATAGTAACTCCACATTTGTAAAAAAAATCTTGAATGCAAACAAAGACATTTTTGTAAAATGGTGTTAATATTATTTAAACTTTAAACGGATTGATAATGGCTGGAGACGGCTTAAATGGGTAATGAAGAAAAACTTTAATACAAGTTTAACATGACAGCAAATGTACAACGTTTCGACAAGGTTTTGTCATCATCAGGTACGATCAGGTACATTTGCTGTCATGTTA